AGGTAGAATAGAATTTCATTGATTCGACAGTCTATTTTAATCACCTCATGTTTTTACCAAGTTTTAACAGTGATAAACTAAGACCACGAAATGTCCAACTCTCTGCTTATGGCGTTTACCTGTGTTGTGTCGTCTCTTCCATTTCTTGTACCGTCATTCACTAAACTCAAACCTACACATAAACATGAGTTTGTCGAGTTGTGAGTAGTCAAAATCTTGTGTAACGTAGTACCTGAAGGTGAACAACAAGGGAGTCTCAGTTGTATGCAGTTCGGAGTGTAGTCTGAAGCTAATGCGCGATCAGCCGACAGCGCTAGGAATGTTTGCTTCAGCAAGTCGGAGAGTTCTTCGGCTGTCACACAGGTCAGGTAGTGCTACCGTCTGAGTCATTCATAAGGACCGTAACAATTGTGTCATCCCATATCGACAAGAACGGAACAAGCTACGAGACCAATGAATAACGACAAGAAGAAACGTCGCCCCTGTTCACTCCCAGTCTACTGCGTCATCAGAAACGGGACTCCCTTATTTACGGACTTGAGTTGTTTCTGCGCTCCCCATGTCGTTTGTGACAAAGTTCTAATTGTGTCAAAGTTCCTAAAATGAAACCCCCAAATAATAATGTCACTAAGATCACAATAGAACTTTTCTTGCGAACTTTTGATCAAGAGGATCGTCCGTCAGATTCTTTGTTTAACGATCGATACATATTCATTCCTCATTTTACACAAGGGTTTCATACGAATCGAATTTTCATTACATAAATGTCAAAAATTAATTCACCGATGTGTTATTCCTTTTTATGACACGCTTGTTCATTAATTACTTTGTCAAAATTTATTATTGATCTGTAGTTTCATAGTACCTAATTATGCACAACTTAACCTTCGGATTTACTATGTAAACTGTTAATTCGAGTTTACATTACTTCAATGTATAAATTTAAGATCTCATGATGCGACAGATTACTCTAGTACAAACATGAAACTTCGAAACGGTGAGGGGTCACCAGAGACAATAGACATACTTACATGTTTGAATTATTGGATTTTGTTCATTATATTTTTGGGTATATAAAAATGCATACACAAGTTACTTTAAGATAAGATAAGATGGATCTTATTTATCCCTTGGGGAATAATAGCTAATTTGGACTAATAGCTAACACAGAATTTGAACCATTAAAAAATAGAACATTGACACATAATTATATGTTAAGATATACAGCAGCAGCAGAATATACAGTCATTAAAATAAACTTCATATTTAAGAGCTGTAACGAGCATTAATAATCATAATCCACCAATTGAATACACAGTATATGATTTGGAAATGGGCCAAGTACTTCTATTGATGGTACTTTAAGTAGATTTAGTTCCCGATGCTTTTGTACTTAAGTAAGATTTTGAATGACTTTTACTTGTAACAGTGTTTTTTATTTAGTAGTGCAACTTTAACTTGAGTAAAAAACCTTCATCCACTGCTGCAAGTGGCAAAATACAACCTGTTGAAATATTAAAAGGTCCCCTATTATACTGTTTTTCATCAATATATTATAGTTCTCTGAGAGAGATTTGGTTAAAAAAAACACAATGGTGGGGGGGGGGGGGTTACCTTGGTTGGTGATTGGCTAATGGTTACACAAGCCAAAACATCGTTATGACATCATAAAGTGGCCAAAATCTGATCAGCTCATTTTCAGACAGGTTTTTATAGAAATGGATCAGGACTAAAAAAAGAAGGAGTAGTTTTGTTCCTGAAACTTTCAGAGTCTCTTTACACAGAGGGAAGTGATTTTGCATAATAGGTGACTTTAAAACCCTCTATATTTTCTATATAAATAACATAGTACTTGAAGGTATTGAACCTCTGGTAGCGGGTGAAGGCGGTGTTCATCTCGTCGTTGGCTGCCAGCAGTTCTTCGATCAGCTTTTCCTCGCTGAGCCGCGGCACCACCTTCACAATCCTGTCCTGCATTTCCTTACACACTGAATATAACTGCTAATGACACAACCAGACAAACAATGTGTGGGCGGGGGTTTGAGGGGCCGATGGTTCACAAAATGCATAAAGTACGAGATCAGTTAAGGGTAAGGCACTCTCTGTCGCTCAACATCACTGGAAGGAAATTAGTATCTGGCACAACATGCTTCACATTGATCAATATAAAAAAGTTAGTATTATTACAATCATTTGATTATATAATGAATTGATAGAGTTTAGTTTGCAAGCATAGCATACAGATAACATCCCACAAGAAGTAGCAGAAGCTCAAAGTTTAAACTATTTATCCTTTGCTTTTATCTACTATTCAAATATGACTTTCATTCAAGATATTCATTAATGCCTTTACTTGCTTGTTCTAATAATGTATGCCTTACTTTTAGCTACTATTAAAGTATTTGCTCATTACTTTTAGCCAACTTGTCAAAAAGGTATTTAATCCCTTTTATATAATAAAATATAGGTATTTAGCTAATTATTTCAACTGTTAGATAATTACTTTAGCTAGTTATTTAAGTGTTCATTGATTACATTTAGCTTAGCATTTTCACTTTTAATGTCTAACTGTGTCAACCATTAATTCATTATTTTTAGCTAGCTATTATTTAATCTGTTAATATTACATTAGCTTAGCATTTCCACTGTTAAATCATAACCTCTAGCTACCTATTTTAACAGTTTTTTCATTACTTTAAGCCAACTATTTTAACTATACATTCGTAACTTTTAGCTAACTATGTCAACTGTTTAATCATTAGCCTAATTAGCTGTTTATTCCTTAGCCATTAGATAACTATGTCAACTGTTTAATCATTAGCCTGAACTGTTAATTCATTAGCCTACTTAGCTAACTTATTCAACTGTTTATTCCATAGCCTACTTAGCTAACTATTTAAACTTTTATGAAATACAATGTTTAACATATTCCTTAGCTAACTTATTCAACCGTTTATTCATTAGCCTATTTAAATAACTTATTCAACCGTTTATTCAAGAGCCTACTTAGCTAACTTCTTCAACCGTTTATTCATTAGCCTACTTAGCTAACTTATTCAACCGTTTATTCATTAGCCTACTTAGCTAACTATTTCAACAGTTTATTAATTAGCTTACTTAGCTAACTTATTCAACCGTTTATTCATTAGCCTACTTAGCCAACTTATTCAACCGTTTATTCATTAGCCTACTTAGCTAACTTATTCAACCGTTTATTCATTAGCCTACTTAGCTAACTTATTCAACCGTTTATTCATTAGCCTACTTAGCTAACTATTTCAACCGTTTATTCATTAGCCTACTTAGCTAACTTATTCAACCGTTTATTCATTAGCCTACTTAGCTAACTATTTCAACAGATAATTCAATACTTTGAGCTAGCTCTTTCAACTGTATACATTAGCATACCTTTAGCTTTACCTAATTCAGCTGTTCAATCATTATTTTTAACTAACTATTTTAGGTGTGAAGTGAAGTCATGTAGCTCAACATGACTAACAGGAATGTGTTGCATAGAATACTTCACATGAATAGTCCCTTTTTGGTCATGTTTTTTTTACCTCCAGGAGCTCCATGTCTGTTTGCTTCACAGTGACAGGATCCATCTGACTCATCATGTCTGACATCGTGGTCAGGTTGGTGCGCACCACTCCCAGCTCTACCTTCAGCTGCTTTATCTGCACAATCAATAACAATCCCTAAATAAACACTGGTAGAGTATTTCCTTTTAAGAGCAAATATTGATATTTTAAAGTGTCTGACAGGAAATGTGACTAGGGCTCCTCCACAATTGGGAAAAGTATGATTATTTAAAATCATATTTCGATTACAATATATTCACGTTTGATCAGTTTTGCATAATTATTCTTACTATGCTTAAAATATATATAAAAATGATCATAGTGGATTCTTTTAAGAGGATTTATACCAAAGAAGGAGATCTCTGCAGCTCAAAATAGTATTTTATAGCACATACATATATCCCTTATTCTATGTATTTAATATTATGTATTCTAGAAGATACTCTGTAGATTTGTATATTTTATCTTCCTTTTTCTTATATGTGTTACTCTTATGCAATGCCTTGTAAATATGCTGCTGTTACAAAACCATTTCCCAAATAAAGTAACTAAAACCTAAATTAATATTTAGCATTCAACAAATACTGTGCTTCCTTTGTTTTGAATAATGCACAAGTCCATACTGTGATAACATTTTGATTAATTGTGCAGCCGTAGTCATGCAACCACATTTAAACAAACATGGCAAGCAGTTATTGATAGGAAAACAGAGTGCAGTTTAAAAGCTAAAAGCAGTGTTTCTGATGCAGGGGGAGCGTCACCTGGCTGGGAGTCAGAGCATTGTTGCCCTCGAGGGCCAGCTTTAGCTCGGAGCACTGAGGAGAGATGAGCGGAGGTTGGGAAGAGAGGAGCGTAGTGACAGCAGCACCGTTCACAGGAGCAGTCTAAAGCACAGAAACACAAAGAAACCCCAAGGAAAAATCACCAAAGAGGACAGAAAGCAACCCAAATATCAGCACCAGACATACCTCAACCTTATTCTAGGGCTTGGATGGTCATGTTCACACTAACTAACTGATTTTGACTTGAATTTCTTATGTTTACTGTTGGGAAAATTCCAAATGTACCCTTCCAATAACAGAGTAACATGCTAACAAAGGTATCCCAACTGTAGCTGTGAACATGACAGGATGTGTGATTACCTAGAAGAGCATCAGGACTGTTTGAGGCATATGATAGCTATGT